AGCTTCCGGATCGAATTCCGGTAAAGCCCGTTCGTTCGCAACCCGTTTTGCCTGACTCGAGCCCATGCGGATAGCCTCTGTCAACGCCGAAGTCAACTTAGCAATTTCGGACTCACCAGACATCCCTGCACCGTCATCGCTCCCGATCGATCTATCCTTTGACCGTCGTTCACTTGCATGGCTCCTGCCCGGTGATCTCTTGTCTTTTCTCCACCTTTCCGTGCTCCCTGACACCTCCTCTCGCCGCGCGTTGCGGTTCCTCGGAGTGCAGGCTCGGCGATAACAGTACCTACTCGATTCCCCCTCTCGATAGTAGTCCTCCGGACTCCTGGATCGGCTCCTGGATTGAGACGGAGATGATCCCGCTCGCCTAGCCGCTTTACGCGACGCCTTCGATCTCCGCTCATAATCACGCGATCGCGACTGCTTCGGCATCGCACTCTGACACTTGCACCACAGTACCGTACTAACTAGTGCTCACTGCACACACTAAAGTTTCTCCAGTGGAGTTGGTATATCCCACTTCTGATATGTAGGCGAATAATTCTACACAGGAATTTCAGTTAGCAACAAAGCGTATATTTTCGTGATAAAACTGAAGACTGGTTCGGACGTGTGATCTCGGCGACGTTCTCCAGACGAAGTGTCGCCTGGCCTCGTGTCCTCGTTCGGGTATCCTCCTCGGTCCAACCCTCGTCCGGATACCCTAGCTCGGTTTACAGGCGTCAGTCATAAACATTGGAATCGGCCCATGGTCCTTAATCTCGAGTGGCCTCTTCCAGCGTATAGCCAAGGAAGTTTTCCCACGCCGACGGGCGGCGTGGCTAATCATTTGCTTACACCTGTTTTTTAAATTTTAATTTGATTAAACTTTATTACCTATATTTTAAATTTTCTTTGTAAAACTTATTACCTATTTTTGTAATTTTTTTTGTAAAATTTATTACCTATTTTTTAAAATTTTAATTTGATTAAACTTTATTACCTATTTCTTTAATTTTTTTTTGTAAAATTTATTACCTATTTTTTAATTTTAATTTGATTAAACTTTATTACCTATTTTTTAAATTTTCTTTGTAAAACTTATTACCTATTTTTGTATTTTTTTTTTTGTAAAATTTATTACCTATTTTTTAAAATTTTAATTTTCTTAAATTTTATTACCTATCTCTTTAATTTTTTTTGTAAAATTTATTACCTATGTCTCAATTTCAATTTGATTAAACTCTATTATCTATTTTTTTAATTTCATAAGCCAATGATAAATTGGAATACCACTGTTCCAAATTACCTATCAAAAATCGTCACTTCATTTCTTCAATCGGACCAAAGTTTCAAATATACTGTTTGAAATATAAAAGTTTATTAGTTTCCCTATGACATTATAGTATAATATATATCATGTAGTTTCTTATTTTACATACAAACTGGTATTCCAAATACACTGCACTTCCTCCAAGACATTCCACATGGTACAAATTGAACGTTACAATTTTTTCATTATTAATACCGCTAAAAGTTTCGCCGCTATTATTTTTTTTTTATTTCATTCACAAACCCGTCGTGTATTTCGTTCGTTTCGTCTGTGACTTACTGCCCAGGCTTGTCGAATGGTTCCCCTCTTGCGAGCTACGCGAGTTTGGCGCTCGATGAACTGTTTTCCCCCTCTCCTTTCTAAACCGACTCTCCCACCACGCGCAGACCAGCCACTGTTACATATATAGGGTGTGCCCATTTAAACGTCCGCAGTCGAGACCGAGAGCGGACTCTTAAGTGAGTGGGTACTCTTTTGTGAATAGACATCGAAACAAAAAAGAGAGACAGATAGAGAAAGATAGAGAGAAAATAAGCGTCAATTGTGTTGTATACTCATTCACAACGATTATTCGATATCGTTTGGTTATATTTTTTTTCACGATGGCCGATTCCAGTTCTGCTACCAGCAGACAATTAAACATTGCCGTTCGTTTGGACATTTTGAACAAATTAGAGGCTGGTGAGAACATAAAGGACCTTGCGCGCGAGTACAACGTCACGGACCGAACGGTAAGACGAATTCGACAAAATGCTTCGTCGATACGACAATTTGCGGGGGAAGAGTGTAAACTGCAGAGGAAAAGAATACGTTCGTCCACGTCCGCCGATTTGGACAAAGAGCTGTATTCGTGGGTCTTGCAACGTCGTTCGACAGGAGGCCGAATAACAGACAGTATTTTGATAGAAAAGGCGAAAGCGATGCAAGAGGAAAGTGGCGGCCCGTCCAACTTCATACCATGCAGAGGCTGGCTTTGGCGGTTTAAAAAAAACTACAACCTAAGCCATGCGAATGTCGTCGGCGAGAGCGAGAGAGGCGATACGGACGAGTCTTCTGCTAGACGGTTTATACAACAGCTTCCGCGAATACAGGAAGAACTTGAAATCGGCGATGACAATCTGTACAACATGGACGAGACGAGTTTATTTTGGAGGATGCTGCCCAATCAGGTACTGGCGGGTGCAAATGAAAACGGAGTTAAAAGAGAGTCGGTGGAGAAGATTAAACATGATAAAGTTACACTGGCGTTATGTTCAAACGCAACCGGAAGCCACAGGCTACCCTTACTTGTGATCAACAAACATGAGAAACCTAGAGCGCTGAAGCACTGTATAAATCATTTACCCGTGATATACACTTACAACGAGAATGCCTGGATGAGTACCGAAATTTTTCAATTCTGGTACCACAACGAGTTTAAACCCTACGTTAGGAGGCGGCAATTGGAAGAAAATAATAACGGTAAGGTTTTACTGATAGTAGACAACTTTAGTAGCCATAATTTACCAGAGGAGGATATGGACGACGGTCATTTCAAACTCATGTTTTTACCGCCCAATACCAGTCCCCTGATCCAACCAATGGAGCAGGGTGTAATTACAAAATTTAAAAAACGATTCCGGCATAGATTGTTACAACGCTTCTTTCAATATGAAAACGGACCGTCAGAATTCTATGCCGATTATGACATAAAGGATTGTATAGACTTAATAAATGAAACGTGGAACTCTATGCTTTCTTTGAACATATTCGATTCCTGGGGTAAAATCCTTAATCGAGAAACGAGATGGGTTGGAAGAAACTTGACACATTCCTCGTCGGAAACTGCTCGCCACGGTGCAGCGTATGAAACAATTTCTGACGAACAAGTGACAGAATGGATCAATCAGTGCGAAGAAGCAGAAAGGATTAAAGAAGATGCTGTCGAAGAGGCAGAAGAATCTTCTCATTTGCGGCCCCCTAGCCCAATAGAAGCAGAAGAAATTGACAGATTGTTGTATTATCTAAAAAAGATTCCTGTGACAGAACCAGAAATTGCAAATTATGCAGAGTCTATAATAGATTATTACAACTCGAAATAATTTTTGTTTATATTTTTCTATATTTTATTATTATTATTATTATTTTTTTCTGTAATATTTCTACACTATTGTCTATTCTTATTGTTATTAACGTAATTTGGTGTAATTATTAACGCAAGAAATGTTCAACTATACTTGTGAAAATAAAGCAATTGTGAAAATTAAGCAAGCACTACTGAATTTGTTATTTAAAATATAAATTTACCTAACTTTGATCTAGACTGTGTGCCGAAATATGTATAGTTCGTTTTCTGTCGTATATCATGTTTCACGAAGCCTTCGGTACGTCGCATGGTAAGACAGCGTAAAGTGGGAATGGCCCCGATTCTAAGAACTGGAATAACGACGGACGCTTAAGTTAGCACTGCCACGTATTTGGTTTAATAATTAACTCTGTCAATTTATGGAAAATTACTTTTTTAGAATCTTTCTTCGTGTATGTAAGTGTGAGTGGTCTAAAGTTGTCAGTTTTCTAAAATTTACGACTGCAGCAACGTCTTGGCAATTTATTGTTACTATACTGAGCGAGTAAGACTACAAACTGAAATATTTTCGAAACGATTAATTATATTCAAAAATGTTTGTCATTCAGTTAGGTCGCTGCAAATGAATTTTTCCTTCCTTGAAAATGATATTACAATCGTTTTACAATCTTGGCAAATTGTAAAGCGAAATCACAATTATCACAATTGAAATCTCTGGTCGCTGTTTTAAGAAATTGTAAAATTATTTTGAAAAATTATAAAATACATTAAACTGTTGCAAATGTATTAAGTTTTTCATAGAACTTTCAGTTTTCATATCTTTTTTGAAAGTAATATTAATCAAATTCAATACATTTTGCAATACATGCAAATAACTTGGAACAAAATTATTATTATTATTATTATTACAACTAAAATCGTTAGATCACTGTTGATAGCTATTTTCTCTCCAAAAATTTCTTTGCACTAATGTCAGATCAGAATCTGTTCTTTTAGGATTTAGTATTGACATTAGAGTCAATTTTTTTCACTGCATTAGAACAATATGTTTGAAATTTTCTAAAGGATATATTTAAATTCAACATTGGCTCATGAGTCGCTTTGAGGAATAATAAAATAATCAACACTAATTATGTTATGTTTCGTTGACTTTAAGTTTTGAAATTAGTCATTAATAAATATTATTTTTACTTACTAAATTCTAAAGCTAGCTTTACACAAGTTTGAAATCGGACATTTCACATGCAAAAGTCTAATATTTTCATAGTAAATATAATAGAATAAAACCATTGAACGAATCAATCTATTAAAATAAATTTGTTGTCCAGTCACATTGGACATTGGATCGCCAAGAGTTAATTGATACAATTGTCATTTTTTAACGTAGTTGCATTTGATACTATGCAAGCATTTGCCCTGAATTATTTTAATCAGAATATCTTCTGAAATAATGGTTTGATACTGTGCAAGCATTTGCCCTGAATTATTTTAATCAGAATATCTTCTGAAATAATGGTTTGATACTCTTTTATAGAGAATGACGAGCTGACTCGATTAATGTACTAAAAAATGAATTTTAATTTTACTTAAAAGAAATAAATAAATAAACATCTTCTATGCATCAACATTGAAAGCTGACAATTATATCAATTGATGCCTCTCTTGAAATTTAATTTTCATCAAATACATTTTTTGATTTATAATCAATTATCTGATTTTGAGAAACGTTAGAATGCTTTTTTTTTTTAGAATACGCAGAAATAAAAAATTTTGTTACTAAATACATTTTTTCCTATCTTAATTTTGATTAGAAATGAATTTATCATTGGTTACTAAATAGCATACGTCGATTTGTAACGCTACAAGTGATTAAAAATTTTATTAATACGATATAAATATAATATAGGTAGCTACAAACATTAACGTATTGTCAACTAATCGCAAGTAGAATGGTCTAATGCGATTTCAAAGTCAACAGGCCGATACTGTCGGAAGCTAGGAGCTATAATTGACAATGAATGCTCGATTCGTTGATTTTCGAGGACACATCTCTCGCAGTTTACAAATAGGGGAACGAGCGAAACGACACGACAATCATGAGAGAATGCTGACCTCGACTCCGAGGTTCGCATTACCGTGTCTTGCACTGTGCATCCCCACCATGTCCAATCTTCACTGTTCGTTGTTCACTACGCTTCAACAACACTAATCGAATTCTTGGAAATGTGAGCGAAAAATGCCCCTTTTCCTTTTGATGCATTTTCAGAATCTATAATCATTTATCAATCTTATATCTCGCAGAAATTTTTTTCATTTAATTGCTTGTTGAACATGAAAGAAACATGTTTTTTTTTAAGAAAAACATTCTTTTCCAAATTGCGAATCATTGAAACGTAAATCTCAAAGTTAAAAAGAAAAGGACGAACGAAGAATGAAATTTGAAATATTTTTAATATTAAAAATTATAAATTGTATGTAAAGGTAATAAAGCTTCTTTTTTTTTTTTTTAATTTATGATTAACGTCGCATCTACCTTCTAGTCATTAGCAACGGCTAGGTACTGTTTCCTTCTTTTCAAGACGATTATATCTTATGGTAAATGTTAGCTTCCTTTAGATAATTCAGGACATTTCCCATGTGTTTCTGCGACGTCAGGGCTGCCGATAAAGTTATTTTGTATTTTTGCCTTTGAGCGTGGTACTTGCTGCATTCAAATAGAAGATGATTGGTTGATAAAATTCGGTTGCATTGGATACACATTGGGGATTCTGTTTTTTTTAATAGATACTCATGTGTGAGTTTGCAGTGTCCTGTTCTAATCCTTGTCATGACTATTCTGTCTTTTCTTTTCATGTTGTTGGTAGGCATTGTTTGATTGAAATCTTGGGTTATATTATGAGTTTTTGTTTTTTTGGAGGTGTTCCATATTTTGTTCCATGATTGTTTTTCGACATGGTGTAATGTTACAACAAGGTCTTGATAAGTTTCTTTTGTTTCTACAGATAGCAAATCTTATCTGCAAAATTCCCACAAATATAAGACATATTCCTACTATTCCGCTTAAAATAGCCAAAGTGAGTGAATTAAGTTTTCAATTTCTTTAAATTTGCAATTTAAAATTATAAGTTATAATTAAAATTATTTACAAAATTATACATAATAAATAAACATGTAAAAATAAAGGAAAGAAATTAATAATAATAAATTACAAATTTATTATTAAAAGGGTGCCTATTGTGACCGAAACTGTCTCATGCAAACAAACTTGTGTACCATTTAGTATATATGTATGTATAGCACGTTGGTAAATGGTGGGAAGGAACTTTCGACTAAGAATACCTGTTTCATTTACATATTTAACTTGCATATACATATTTTGTTTTAAGATATTTGATTGTTCGATTTTCTTACCATTTGCCATTGAAAGAGCAATGTAGGTTTTTTTTCAAGTTATATCATCATAATTACTATTCTTTAACGCTACATTCTGTTCTTATTTTCTTGTAAATGGACAGCGGACGTTCATGCTAAAATATATTTTGTGTAATTATGTGAGAAATACCATGTGATTTGTAATATAAAATTGATTAATGTTTAAATATTATTAAAATATTAAAAATGTTTATATATATATATATATATATATTAAATATTAAATATAATATATTATATTATTAATTTATGCATTAAATATTAAAAACTGAATAAGCCGGAATACGATAAGAAAGAGATATTAAGATCTCTCGAGATCTGCATGCTGTTACGACTCACTAAAGAAAATCTTCAAAACACTTCTGTCTTCATACACACTTCACACACTACACGCACGCACGTACACAAACACGTACGCTGATATTTTACGTCTGGGACGTACGTAAGATTGGCTAAACAAACAGTCTCAAGTCACACAGCCGACGATAATTGTCTGGCTCTTAGGCCACACAGAAAGAAACTCCGAGCAATGAAGCCTCCTCACTCCACAATTATTTTGGATATTGCATATGTTTTGCATGTTTGAATCGAAAAGCATACGCACATGATGTGTTAAACATTTTTTTCACATTCATCTTACCACAATTTAATTATTATTACAGATGACCATGTGTATAATTTGTGCAATGAGGTCATCATTGACAATCTCAGGGTCATTCTCATTCCCAATCTTTCCTAGATAATTGACAAGCTTTTTCGCTGTTAAACAGTATTTTTTCCTACTTTGAACTTGTTTCATTGTAAAAACATTTTTTTATTCCTTGAAACATTTTCCATCGTGCCATTTATCTAACAAATTATGTAAATATATTAATTAATTGATAAAAGAGGAATGAAAGAGTTATTAGGGATTTAAAGTGACTACAGAGTCACTTTCTATTTTAATACTTTAGAAGTTTAGAAGTTGTGTTGGAAATTATATTTTCAAACAATTAATGAAGATTTGCTAAATGGAAAATGTTGCAAAGTTTGTTTAAAAATAGAATTTATTTACTAGAGAGAGAGAGAGAGAGAGAGAGAGAGAGAGAGAGAGAGAGAGAGAGAGAGAGAGAGAGAGAGAGAAAACAGTTTCTATTCATATGAAGTAAAAATAGACTATGTTGAGGGTGATCGCTATTTCAGGAAGCGCTACTAATCATTATATCAGTTTACACATATTAATAACTTTACTTGGTATTTATTTATATTTTATACTCAGAGAACATTACCTAACTGATCCTATATTATCATAATCTAGGGTCATGATCTAGGAGAGGAAAATATCATTCATTGTGAAAATGATGTGACTGAATATAAAATAGCTATAGTATTGTAAAATATCTGCCTATCAATTTTAATTAATTTCATCTATTAAAATTTTCGGTTTATTTTATTTATATAGAATTACTTTCAAGTTGTCATCTTCAATACTGGACACCCTGTGTATACATACGTCAAACATACATGTTGCACAGAAAGTTACAACAATTACACCATGACAAATCCAATCAATTGTAAAAAGAATTTCCAACAGTTTATCTGATCAATTCCTGCATCAAG